AGGTTCCAGAGAGTTTGATTCCTCTTGATGATATATTAAACGAATATATATGCTTAAAGGAGCAGAAAATGGCGGTTGATCGAGAGAGAATAAGATTGGATCAAGAGAAAATTAGGGTTCAGAATCTGTTGCAGGGGATGCAGAATGTGATGAATACTTACAATTCCAGCTTCATCACTCCTCCTCTGACTTCTCAGAATATAAACTACGGTATAACTTCTTCAGGTTTTTCAGAGTTATAGTATCGCATTTTACCGCGTGCTTTTTTTTTTTTTTTTGCGTTTTGCTGTTCTAGAATTGGAATGATTAGTAGGTTAGATTGGGTTTGGATCTTGATCTTTTCATGGTGGACATTATTAATTGAAGTGATTCTTGATGTTTTTGGTTTATTAGAACTTTACAATTGTGTATTTGGGATGCAACACACTTGTTACTTAAAATTTGTCACTTCATAAAACTTGTTTGGTGCTAATTTATTGGAAGCAAATATATATATGGCTTTGATTTTTCTGTAATTTATCTGGCAAATGTATCCGTCTTTACGCAAATGGAACTAAAACCATGTCCATGTTTTTTTCAGGCTATGGTCAGTACAACACACCAAGTGTTATGCCAGTGTCATTGCTGGGTAACAAAAGAGTGGAATGTGAGAATTTTTCGACACCTTTGGCCAGTCAGGCTATAACCGGAAAACGAAAGGGTCCTGAAGTTTCAGTAGTAGCTCCTCCGGTATCTAGGAAACCGCGGACTACTACAGCACAAGAAAAATCATATGCAAATGGTAATGTGTATATATTACATACCATGTTTGTACTTGCCTTTGAATCATTAGTAGAGGCGAATAAGACACACAAAAAAACTTATCTTGTGTCTTCTTTTCGTGACCAGAGGCGAATAAGATGGCGCAAGCGGATAAAACAGCTAACAATTTATCTTCTCAAACTGTGGCCAATAACTCAGCTGCAACTAATGAGTTGATGACTGGTGATGTGTCGAAGTGTTTGTTCAATAAGGCTGATTCGTCGATTCCTACTAATTCGACACCACAAAAACATGCTTCTTCTCCTGGGAGTGATAAGTCCAACAGTCCACAGAAAGAACTAGAAGTTACTCCTACAAACTGCCCAATTGTTACAAAGGAGAGATTCACAATCAGCCCTCTCAAACAAATCACTTCTTATTCAGTCGAGAGGAGCCATCTGGTTTCTTCTTCATCGCCGGTCCAGTCTAATCTTAAGATTTCTAATAGGAGAGACCATGTGAGAGGAAGGCTCAACTTCGATGACACTGATACAGAAAAGTGCTTAGAGGCACCTGCTACTGCTGCACCTTTGGTTGCAACTTCTCCATCTGGATCTGATCCTGAAGTTGATTTATTTGACATGGATTTATTTGATATGGAGTTCCTGGGTGAAAACTTTTCAATCTCAGAGATGCTAGTCGATTTCGATCTTGCTTGTGAAGGAAGTACACTAAATGCACCCATAGAAACTCCTTCAGGGTATGTGCTTTGTTTTACAATGATATGTTTCTGTAAATGGTAACACTCATTTATTGTTGTCTACTCAAAATCGCAGGTTGTCTCCGGAACTAGGGAATTGTATTCTCGAGACTGACCAGACCATGTCGGAATATACAACAATGAATGAAGTGATTCAGGGGAAAGACATGAGCACTCAAGGTGGGTATATTCTGGCCGGCATTTGATTATATATAATATACTCTTTTGCTCCTTCCACTCATTTCTTGATGCTTCATTTGCAGGAGATTATGCCAACTCGTTCATAGAAATGCATACGGATCTCGAGTCCTGGTACTTTCGCTTACTCTTTCTCCATTTGATGTAATCATTTTCTCAATTTTTTATCATGTATCGATCCTAACTCGGTCATCCTTCTCTTAACACAGCTAAAAGTAGCAAGCAGAGAGTAAAGTTACAGACAATTGACTGAATTTTGAAGCTACTGTTGGCTCCAAAACACCAATGCAAGATCATCTGTTGAAGCTAATCGCTGTCGTTGGTTGCTATAGCTAGCATTTGTCAAACAGATAAAGCCATGTGTTATCGAAAATAATGTATGATTTTTTTCGAGCTTCAAAAAGCGATTTCAAGCAATATAAATGTGTTAAAAATATAACTAAAAATGACGAAATTGTCGTTATAAAACTAGTTTTTTAAACTATATGATTGATTATTCCGTATAAATTTTTATCTAGTTCAATTCTTTCCGATATTCGACTATTCCGATATTCAACAGACATACGAGTCAAGCCATTCCTACTTTGCATTGCCCGTCAACCCGCTACATACCAAGATCCATTTTCTCAGACTTTATTTGAAATTGTCGCTTCTAACTAATCAAACTTTATTTGAAACAACACAATTTTTTACTAAATTTGT